GCGAACAGATTCTGCTGTAGCCTGTGGTTTATGGTCTCAACTCGCAAACAAATCGAGGTTTCGGGTGAAGAACTTGTTGGACCATTAATTTCAGAAAAAGCTCTTCGACAAAAGAAGAAGAAAGCAATGGCAGAAGGAGAAGGAACTGATGCTAAGATTGCGTCGTTGGCGCAACAAATAGAGAAAATGACGCTGATGATGGCAAAGTTGGTGGAGGATCTTGCACGCAAACCGCAAGATGAGATTCCTGAAGATTCCAGGAGGAAGACCTCAAGAACTAAAACATCCAAAGTTAAGAAAAGGGTGCAATTTAGTGAAGAGGAAGATTCCGATGAGGAAGAGGAGTCTGCAGAGGAGTCTTGTGCAGATCAAAGCCAAGAGAAGGAATCAGATGCTGATAAAGCTGGTAAGTCCAAAACTTCTATGAATGGTCTTAAAATTGATGTTAAGATTGATATTCCGGTGTATGATGGTGAGATTAATACCGAGAAGTTGGATAATTGGATTGACCAGTTAGAAACTTATTATACTATTTTTGAGTATAATAACCGCCAGATGATCAACTTTGCAACGTTAAAGTTGACCAAGCATGCTTTGACATGGTGGAAGGCTTATAACAAACATTATAGTATAACGACTATGACGTGGAAAAAGTTTAAGCGAGCCATAAGAAAGCAGTTTTACCCTGTTGGCTTCGAAGAGGATAGATGGTTCAAGTGGCATCATTTGAGGCAGAGTTTTGGATAGTCGGTACAAGATTATGGAGCTGAGTTTCAAAATCAGGCTATGGTGTTGGACCTAGACTTGGAAGACCATGAACTCCTCATGAAGTTTATTGGGGGCTTGCAAGTGTATATTCGCAAAGAGTTGCGATTGTTCAAGGTTGAAGACTTTGAAGAGGCAATAGCAATGGCAACTGCCATCAAATAAAAGAACAAGAAAGTGGACAAAAAGGAGGACAAGAAGGATTCAAGGAAATTTGAAGTTGGGAGTCGCAATAGTAAAAATAGGGAGCAAAGTTATGGAAAGAAGCAGACAAACTGTGAGCATTGCAACAAGCCAGGTCATAGTAAAGAAACATGTTACATTCTTCATCCCGAGCTTAGGGAGAAAGAAAAAGAGAAAAGAAGTAACCAAAAAGATCTTAAAAGAGCATTGACTGCTAACAAGACTGTGGAAATTCCAGAAATGGTGCAACACGACATGAAGTTGACTCTCATGACCCAGAAGCTTGTTCATCCGGAAGGTCGTGAAGACTTGTTTAATGTTTGTATACAGGTAAAGCACGATTTGATAGACACTATAATTGATCCGGGAAGCCAAAAGAATCTCATTTCAGAGGCATTAGTCCGGAAGTTACGGTTAACAACCACTCCTCATCCTAACCCATACCCGTTGGGATGGATACAGAAAGATGTTGAGTCACAAATTACTCGACAATGTACTTTCAAGTTTGCAATTACTAGAGAATACATAGACGAAGTGACTTGTGAGGTAGTACCATTGGATGTATGCAAAGTAATTTTTGGTAGTCCATACTTGTGGGATCGTGATGCAGTGTTCTATCGACGACATCAAAAGTATAGATTTATGAAGGATGGAGTAGAGTACTTCATTCATGCCAGCAAAGTTTCCTTAAGTAATAGTTTGATTAGTGCTAATCAAGCTAAAAGGATGGTGAATGCTTGTGGGAAGTTCGTCTTATTGGTGGTTCAACCACGAGAAACCACCCCATCTACATATGTTTTATCTACTATGATGCTTACTCCTAGACAGAAACTTGATATGGAGGAGTTACAATTGCAATTCTCAGACTTATTTGAGAATGTTGAAGGCTTACCACCGCAACGCCCAGTAGAGCATGAGATACAACTCGTTGGAGAATCTCCATTGCCTAATTTGGGTATGTATCATCATTCAATACAAGAGAGCGAAGAAATCAAGAGACAAGTCAAAGAGCTCCTAGAGCAAGGAGTATTGAAGCCGAGCTGCTCACCTTGTGGATCCCCAATATTGTTGGTCCCAAAGAAAGATGGCAGTTGGCGTATGTGCATTGATTTTCGGGCGCTCAACAAAATCACTATTAAAAACCGGTATCCATTACCGAGGATAGATGATTTAATGGATCAACTACAATCAGCTCGATGATTCACCAAACTAGATTTGAAGTCTGGTTATCATCAAGTCAGAATCAAAGAAGAAGATACATGGAAAACCGCATTCAAAACCAAACAGGGCCTCTTCGAGTGGCTAGTGATGCCGTTTGGTTTATGCAATGCTCCAGCAACATTTATGCGTCTCATGAATGAGGTACTTCATTCATACATTGATGATTTTGTCATTGTTTACTTGGATGATATCTTGGTGTTTAGTCCTACTTGGGAAGAACATTTGATTCATGTTGAGAAAGTGTTGGAGACATTGAGACAATATCAATTACGACTGAATCTGAAGAAATGCGAGTTTGGGAAGAGTTCTCTAGTGTATCTTGGTTTTATAGTTGGTGACGGAGAATTGAAAGTTGATCCATCCAAGGTGCAGGCTATTACAGATTGGCCTAGACCTTGTACAGTAACTGAAGTACGTAGCTTTATGGGAGCTTGTCAGTATCTACGTAAGTTTATTCGCCATTTTTCTCAAATTTCTGGGCCATTATTTGAATTGACTAAGGCAAGAAGAAAGTTTGAATGGTTAGATAAACATGAAGATACCTTCAGATTGCTTAAAAAGAAGATCTCAGAAGCTCCAGTTTTAGCTTTGCCCAATTTGCAAAGATCATTTGAGGTAGAAACGGATGCGAGTAATTACGCCTTGGGTGGCATTTTGAAGTAAGATGGGAAGCCAGTTGAGTATTATTCTGAGATGTTCAATGCTGCAGTGCGAAATTATCCTACCTACGATAAGGAGTTGTTTGCCTTACATCAGTGTGTAAAACATCGGAGATGCTACCTATTAGGTAAGGAAGTGATAGTGCACTCAGACCACAAGCCTTTGCAGTACTTACAGACACAGTCCAAGTTGCAGCAAGCTCGACACATGAAGTGGATGTCTTACTTGCAACAATTCAACGTCATTATCAAGTACAAGAAAGGGGTTACAAACAAGTTTGCAGATATGTTGTCTAGACCTCCAGGACATTCCGCTTTATTGGTGGCTATGCAACTCCAACCTGTGGTACTTTCCGAGTACGTAACAAGTTATGATAGTGATCCAGAATTCAAAATTTTCTATGATAAGCTACAACGTGGGAAGCCATGCCAATTTGAGATGAAGGATGGCTTAATGTTCAAGGGAAAACAACTATGCATCCCCAACAATGGAGACCGATTGCAATGGATCAGGGAGGCCCATACTTCTAGATGTGCAGGTCACTTCGGAGTTGACAAAACCCTCCTCAATCTACAACGTTATGTTTATTGGCCTCGGATGCATGTGGATGTTTCTCGTTTTATTCGAGGTTGCGTGTTATGCAACACCTCAAAACCATCGAGGAAGTTGGGGTTGTATACACCACTTCCGGTACCAAACAGGCCCTGGGAAAGTATCTCAATGGATTTCTTGGGTGGTTTGCCTACAACTACCACTAGGTTTGATTACTTGTTTGTTGTGGTGGACAGATTCAGCAAAATGGTGATCCTAATTCCTTGTAAGAAGACAATCTCAGGAGAAGGTGCCGCAAAGTTGTTTTTCCACCATGTTTGGAAACATTTCGGGTTACCTACTTCTATCATTTCGGATCTAGATAGCAGATTTCTTGGTCACTTTTGGAAGTCTTTATGTGGATTGATGGACACAAAGCTGAAACACAGTACTGCTTTTCATCCTCAAACGGATGGACAAACAGAAGTGGTTAATCGGACCATGGTACATCTATTGAGAGGATAAAACTCTAAGCATCCTCGTACTTGGGATGCGAGTTTACCTTATTTACAATTTGCCTTTAATAGGGCAATTCATAGTTCTACTTTGAAGTCACCTTTCGAAGTCTGTTTGGGCTACCTACCTTCGAGTCCGTTTGATATGGCCTTCTCAGTTGGTGACAAGCACAATGGAGAAGAAAACAATGATAGGCTAAAAGCACAGTGACTCTTGGAGCGCATTTCGAAGATCCATAAAGAAGTTGAGGAGCAATTACAGAAGTCATAACAACGATACAAAGCGCGACATGACAGACATAGGCTCCAGCATGACTTCAAAGCCGGTGATTTGGTTTGGTTAAAACTCAGCAAGGAAAGATTACATGGTTTAGGAAGGAAATTAAAGCCAATTCGATATGGGCCATTCACGATCTTGGAAAAGATTGGGGAGAATGCATTTCGACTTGAACTGCCACCTTACATGCAGATGTATTCAGTAATAAATGCTGAGTATTTAAAACCCTTTGAGCCATCCTTATTGGATGATGATGAAGACGTTAAGGATTCTCGACTTCCCCCGCTAGACGATCTATGGTTTGAGAGGGAAGACCCATTGACGGCAGACTGTATTCTTGGGAAGAAAGCCACTATGACTCGGCATGGACAGATAGAATCCTATCGCATTGGAAGAAAGGGGCAGTTGCCAAGCAAGTCAAAATGGTTTCGCAAGGAAAAAGGAATTCAAGAGTTCCCTCATTTGCAGTTTTAGCTTTCGCAGGAGCTTCAGCTTCCTTAAAATGGGGAGCCATGATCCAGGTGGATCTTCTATATGTAATACAATATGATATTAAGTCCATATCATATTATGTTACTTAATTATCATTTTATTTAATTATTATAAACCCATTAAAAGTTTGCGGTCAAACCTAATGGATTTGAAACCGCTCAAACTTAAAGGTTTATATTAATTAAACTTTTTAAACCATACATGACGTAAGGTCTAAAATCAATTGTTATTTTTAGTTTTCCATTTTTAGAAAACTCATTATGTATATAAATCGAATGTTAGAATGAATTAATCAATCAGTTTTCTTTTGATTCTATTCCATTCTCCATAATCATTGTGTTCCTTATTATTCTTGATTAAGAGTTCCACAAGAAACCTTTGATCACCCACCGAGCTTGGAGGATACCAAAGCACCTCTCCACATCTTTTCTGTAACCCTCTTGATAGGCAGCAAATAATTTTTGCTTCTGGGTTCGGGGATGCGGAAGTGATTTCTCAAATGTTGTCCACCTCGGGTAGATGCCGTTAACTAGATAATACCCAGTCTGGTAGACGGTATTGTTGATTTCATAGGTGATTTTCGAGGCTTCTCCTCTCAAAACATCGTTGAACACCGGGGATTGACCTAGGACGTTCAAGTCATTTTGAGATCTAGCAACTTCGAAGAAGGCGTGCCAAACCCATGTATCGAATCCTGCAACGGCTTCAAGGATGATACTTTTCTGCCTTTTCCTATTTCCATAATCTCCTTGCCAAGCAGTTGGGCAATTCTTCCATTGCCAGTGCATGCAGTTGATGCTACCAATCACTCCTGGAAATCCTCTAGCTTCAGCTTTCTGTAGAAGTTGTTACAGGTCCCTGGGCGTAGGTCTGCGCAGGTAGTCCCTAGTGTACAGAGTTTCGACTGCATCACAAAATCTAACCAAACTCTCCAAAGCAGTGGACTTCCCCATCCGGGCAATCTCATCCACCTGATCAGCAAATGCACCATACGCCAACATTTATATAGCAGCTGTGAACTTTTGTTCGGGAAGCAGTCCCAAAACACCAGCACAATTTCTCTTTTGAAAAAAGTATTCATCATAATTGCAAATATCATGCATGACTTTATTGAACAAATGTTGTTGCATTCTATATCGCCCTCGAAAATGAACATCAGAGTACAGAGAAGTTGGGATAAAATAATCTTCCATAAGATTCTTACCCCGAGAATGTCTATGTTTGTCAATATTCGGGCCACGGCCTTCATGTGAACCACGACTGCTCTGGTTTTCTTCATCAAGCAAATCCACAGCCATGACAATTTGCTGATCTAGTTCTCTCTGCACTTTTTGCTTGCAGCTCGTCTACACCTTCTTTCTCATATTTCTCGTTCTTGCCTCTCCAAGACCTCCTCCATGTCTGCCATTGAGAATCGAATATGGAATCTAAAATCTAAAATATGAGAAATGAAATTTTTGAGAAGATGTAGTGTGAGAGGTTTGTGAGCTGAGCCTTAGTTTATAGAAAAATTTAGGTCGATAGACATGACACGTGGCGCAATTTTATAGGGTGAAAATCTTATCCGAAATTTGAAATTCAGATGAAATTTATCTAAAATATGAAATTCAAATGAAAATTTGAAATTCAAATGAAATTTATCTGAAATTTGAAATTCAGATGACACGTGGCGCAATTTTATAAGGTGAAAATCTTATCCGAAATTTGAAATTCGGATAAAATTTATCTGAAATTTGAAATTCAAATGAAAAGTTGAAATTCAAATGAAATTTATATGAAATTTATCTGAAAATTAAAACAAAAGTTTATTTGAAATTTGAAACCGAAAATCTTATCTAAAAATCTCATCCGAAAATATTATCCAAATTAATTGTTTAGGTAAACAAATTTGTGAAAAAAACAAAAAATTGAATAGTACTTGCCCTTTGCCATGGCAACTGCTGGAAGTACAACTTACTTTTTGCAAGGGCAGACACTATTCACATGAATAGTGCCAGCCCTAGCCCCCCCTTTGCCATGGCAAGAGTTTCACTGCTGGAAGTGCCCTTATGTGTGGAAGAATATAAGTCCCACATCGGAAACTTGATTAAATAAAATAAAATATATAATAAATAGTTCCACTACTAATATCATTGAGGCCTTTTGTGATAAAACCCCACACCTACTAGGCTTTGTAGATGGTTAAGTTGGGGACAATATCGATGTTGTTAGAAGTCAGAGTAGGTAATTGATTGGGCTTGAATTACTAGACCTTTACCCTTACCCCTTACCCCTTACGCAACATGCGGTGTTCACATGTTGGGCTTAAATGTTTACCCTTATCTAATACGAGGTGCTCACGTGTTGGGCTTGAATGTTTGACTTCAATGTGGACTTGGCTCCACGTGTGCAGTGACGGACCCAGGATCCGAACCCCGTAGGGTCATAGTGTAAATGTTCCGAAGAAAATTTAAGAACGGGTTATTTTTCTTATCTATTTTTTCTCTTCCAA